ATAATAATTTTGATTTCTCTCTCCTTTTTGTGGCAGAGGTGCTTCTAGTGTTATAGTCAGGTGCTTTGGTGAGGCATCTTATGTGCTCCTTTAGTAGCCTTCCGGGATTTTGCCGGATTTGTCTCTCCCGATGGAAGGTACAATCGAGGTGGAGGGAATATTCTCTGACGCGGATGTTGGTGAATGTGATTGTAGTGTGGTTTGTGTTAACCGAGCAATTCTCTTCTTCTATAATGAACTACACAAACTGCTTGCCCCCTTTCGTGCCCTTGAGAAAAAGTACTTAATTATGTCATATAAACCAAATGTTAGTGAAACATTTTTTGTCAACATAGTTTCTTAGTGAAATCTACACCCTACATATTGGAAGAGGGGTTAAATTAGTGAAATGTTCCCAATTTCCCTCTACCTTGTTGGCTGTAAGTATTTCATCTTTTGATGGCTTAACATAGACTAGCACATCAAGAGATTATAGTAAGAGCATCTACAACTGGACACCCTCCCCCCAAAACATTCGGGCATACAGCCCGGACCGATAAACGGCATCCAACCGGACCCCCCCCAAAGCCAACCCAAACATCCGGTTTGTCGGTCACCCCTCAAACCCATCCCATATGTTGGGAGGTATCGGGATGCCCGTATGTGTCTGCCATGTCGGAACCAAATCTCTTCAAATCGTCCCCAACCCTAGCCCAACCAGCCCTCTTCATCTCCTCTCTTCTGCCCCATCAGCACCACCCATTCCCTAGTTCCACCGCCATCCTATCTCCGTTGCCCTCCCCAACCCACTGCGCCTACCACCACCGGCCCCAAACCCCTCCTGGTCGTCCTTGTCACCACCAGACAACTTTCTAGAGATGCCTCAGCAACTTCAGATCAACGGGTGCACGTATAATTACTCAATGATCTTGTGAAGCATATATGGACTCACACAGAAAATCACTGAATTTTATGTTTGAACTATGCATTCTGAATAAATATTATTTTGGAACTATGTATTTTTCTTTACGAATAAAAATTATTTGAGCGTAGTTTGTTACGTGTATTCGTATCATCAAATGATAGATGTGTATGTGGTTACATGTATTTGAGATTTCGAAAGTGAGGGATGTGATTGCACGGGCAAACATCTGAGGGGAGCCATCTGGGATGCATCCGCGAACATGTAGTGGGTCAAATTTATACATTGTTGTAGATGGTCTAACGTGTTGGAAGAGAACAAGTATATAATTGTACTCCAACATGCATAGGTAAATTATTACATTTTGAGAAAAAAATTGTGAAAATAGAAGCTAAATATTTAAGATTCTATTTCACATCTTTTTTTGCGGGTATCCATTTCACAATAAAAATTAAAATGGGGTATATAATTCTCAAAATACAGCAAGTATTTGCCGGGAGGAATTTTTTATTTTTGACAGATCTCCCATCCATTTATATAAAAAAAATCAAACTATTAATCGTGTCAAATCATTTGTGCAACTTGCAGGACAATTAACCACATGACCAAAGTCATAGCACAGAGGATCCCAACAACATGTCCTACACTCGCTGTAGCCTGCAGCCTGTACCCCTCCAGCGCAGCTTGCAAGCATCCACGACCCATTCATCATTTTCTGGCTGCTCCGGCTTAATGACACCCCTTCCATAACCTTCTCCTCATTTGACGTCCATGCCCCTGCCTCCCTCCAACAACCCGCGCCACCTCACGCGGGGGCACCCACGTAATTTCTCCCAGGGCGAGGGCGGCCTATCTGGCCAGCCCATTATATATCGCTCTCATGGCACCGTGGCTCATGTACTGCTGCCCATTGATAGGCTGGTGATCACTGCTGTCGAGAGGAACTACGCATCCATCCCTTCCGCCCCCAGCTACCTCGCTTGCTCCACGTAAGTTTCCGTTCCTTCTAGCTTCCCTTGTTGTCTCCTTGGCTTCTCCTTGTGATGAGAAAAAATCTCATGGAGTTTTGCGCCTCCTTTGTTCTTCTGTTGGAGTAGGCATCGTCTTTGAAGGAGAGGAAGATGACGAGCGTATGGAAGACCAAGGTTCTCCCCGGGCTCAACAAGATCTTCGACAAGGATGGCAAGAAGGCCGCCGCCGCCGAGTTCTTGAAATCCTTCAACAAGGTACGTTGAGCTCCGGGCTCTTGCAAAATTCTTGTGAAATTTGCGCGTTACGAATTTTTGAAATGATAGATGATGTCTGTATACACGTGTTTTGCTTGCTTGTTGATTGTGTGGGCGTGCTCTGTGTGTGTAGGAGGAGATTGACAAGGAGATTGAGGACAAGAAGACAGAACTAGAGCCCAAGGTTGTGGAGACCATTGAAGCATCTCCTCCAGAAATTAAGGTGAAAAGATTTTTTTGGGGGGGTTCCTAATTAGTATTGGTTTTGTGTGGTTGCTTAGGACATAACAGTAGGAAGTAGCCACCTTGAATCCTTAATTAGTGCTAATCATATTGTTATCTTGTTGTAGGGCTTGATGAAGGATAAGAAAACATCCAAGATCAAGAAGAACTCAGTTGCCGTCACCAAGTTCCTTGACGATTTGGCCAAGATTGGTAATTTTTTTGTTGCTTAAATTTTGCAAAATAAAATATTGTGAAAAAAAGGATTAAATACAAAAATGGAATTATTTTAGCAATCTTATCAGGTAATTTCTTAGGGTCCGTATCTTAAATAACCTTTATTCCTTGCCTTTTGAACAAAATAACCTTCATTATCCTGCTTTCACATAACTAAACTTTAGAGGTATCTTGTTAGAACAAAAAGAAGACAAACAAAGTAATGGAATCTTCTCACATATGTTTCTTGCAACAGAAGTTCCCATGCAAACAGTACCGTTGCTTTTAGGCGATGCAGACAAAACCATAACATGTGCAATTAACAAAAGATGAACAATTAACTGTAATTAATTGCCATAGGTGCACTCAGCTCTCGGGCATACTGCTGAGAGCTTTGTGAGTTCTAGAATAAAGAACACTCTTAATCATTAGTTAATTAAATTAGTTATATCTAACTGACATATGCTAATGAACCTATCGAGCTAATCAGCGTTGGTTAATATGCAGATTTCCCCGGAGCCAAGCTGGTGAGCGACGCGGTGGCCAAGTCCGGCACCACGCCCCTCTCCCCGGCCATCGTCTTCATCTTGGACAAGGTTGCGCCCTTCGTCCCAGCGCCCAAAGAGGAGCCCAAGGCCGAGCCCGAGGACGCCGCCCCGGCAGAGGAGACCACCACCCGCGAGGTCGCCGTGGAGGAGAAGAAGGAGGAAGCCGAGCCCTCCGCCGCACCGGCAGAAGCGGCCGCGCCGGTGGAGGCAGCCGCGCCCGCTGCTGAGGTAGTGGAGGAGAAGAAAGAGGAGGAGAAACCCGCGGAAGCCGCCGCACCTGCCGCCGAGGAGCCAGAGAAGAAGTGATCGGTCGCCGCCGGCCGGAGTCCAAGAGCAACCCAAGCTACCACCTAGCTTGCTGCTGGTAATGAAAACATTTTAAGTTATTGTGAATTTGTGGTCGCTCTCTGTGTCAAGGTAGCTGCACAAAAGTAAGCACGTACGTACGTACACTGCACTTGCCATGCATACCACGCATGCAAACGTACACGCATGGAACATTTGTTATTCTTTCGATGGACCGGTCTCCTCACCGTATGTGTACATTTTACGTGGGGCTTTCTTGCTTTTTTGTGGTGGTTAAAACCTGTGTAATTATGATTATATTGGTGTGTTAATTTGTTGGTCATGGTATAAGCAGGAACTTGTGCATTCTTCCTCTTCTTGAACTTGTGCAAACCCTGGATGAATCATATAGAGCCCGGCTGTTGATATGGTTGATTTTACCGTCATTCACATCAGAGTGGATTAACAACAATGGCTTTGCATGCATACGCCTCCGGTCAAGTTTCACAAGATGTAGATAAGCACGAGGGAAGTCGGTAGGAAACTGATGGAGGTGGCGTACCAAATCGTGGCACGAAACCTAGAAACCGATCGATGGAGATAGATAGCTTTGGGACATACTATACTGACATTGCACATAATTATCTCGTTTGCTTAGCCAAATCAGTGAAAAAAATCAATCAGTGCCGGTCGGAAAGGGACGTGAGCTCAATCCTATCGCCCGGCCGCACGACACGCCTCTGGCTCATCAGCCTGAGATCTCGATCTCTCAGAGGCCCCGCATGGACGGGCCTGCGTGACGTACGTGCCTGCGTGCACCCAAATTATTTCTAATTATTTGTAATTAACAAGGCTCACCATTGATCCATCCACTGATGGGTACACGCAGGAGGATAAAGGAGACGTTTCAGTCGAAATAAAAGGGGTTGATTGTGATCGTTTCTGGGTTGGTGTTTCGTTCTGTCCGTCCGGGCAAAGCAGTGAACCACGCACGGTGCCTTGTGCCTTTGTCCAGTACCGTGGCTTGGTCGCTGTTGCCGGGCCCTGTCACGTACGCACGCACGAACCATGGCAGCGTGACACGAGACGTGCACGCTGCAGCAATGCAGACGCGCCCACAAGGACGTGACACGGCAGGCGCACCACAGAATATTTAATCAGAACGAGTGATTTTCAGTGGATTTTCCCAGGCGTACACGTCGATTTTGGTGCTCTCGTGAACCACGGATGTGCAGGCATGCGGTTGTGGCGCCAAGTGCCAACCACTGTGAACGAAGAAAGCTTTGTGGCGCCAACTGAGCTGGGAAGAAGATTCAAAGGGAATCTGGCGTGACGGCGTGAACAGCCGCGAGAACAAGATTCCTGCCGTTGGTCAGCCTCGGAGCGGACGGGTGGTAGGTTTTGGACAAGACAAGGAACGGAACGGAACGGAATCTCTTCTCCCGTTTTTGGCGTTTCTTGCTTCCCACTCTATGTACCTACTCCTATTTTTGCCGTTGGTGAGTGAGAGATTTCAAGTGCTGGTTCACCATATTTATCGTTAACTACGTGGGCACGGTACTCCAATGATGAATAGGAGTAAAATAAAAGGACTCGAAAAAGGTGTTTTTCCTTTGCGTCGTGCTGACCCGATATCATGTTCTCGTCCTTGGCTGGGGTCTAGTAGCTGGACAAGGCTACAAAGGTTCAGCTGTCTCGAGTGATTGGGCTGCATGCATAGGTTGGCTGGTAGCTGGCTCAGGCCAGGGACGGGGCCACTTGGACAGCTAACGAGAATCACAACTTGGAGTTTGGTTTCATATATGGATTTTTTTAAATGTCTTTTTTTATAAATTCGAAAAATGTATGCCCTAATTTGTAAATTTTAAAAGTTCCCCGTCGGCCTCGCTAAGGCCGAAGAGGAGCTTTTCAGTCTCCCTTAGACCGAACTAGTACACTTCGGCCATGCTTAGGTCGACGAGTGCATTTCGGTCTACCTTAGACCGAAAACCGACGCCCAGGGCTGAAGAGACCTCTTCGGTTTTCGCTCAGCTGAAGAGTGCTACAGGGCCCACCACTTCGCGTAAATAGAAGGCCGAAGTTGCATGTTGGCCTAAACCAGGCCGAAGTGTATTCTTTGGCTTTCTCGTGACTGAGGAGTCCTTTTTTTCCTTTCTTCATCCACCATTCTTCTTGCCCAATTCCCCCCAGCCCCTTACCCTCATTCTATAACCCCCCCTCCCCTTCGCATGTTGCCCGGGCTCCCGGAGAAGTGCCCGGAAAGGAACACAGAGTAAATTTGACAAGAACTTTTTCGTTTGCGTGGAAGGTGGGATAGGATTGTTGAACTCAAACATATGAGTGCCCGCATTACTGGTAGGCCTTTACTTCCTGACAATCCAAAAATAAATTTTCCACATAAGGAATATGAGGACCACGTTAAGGTAATTGATATGTCATTTAAGGTTGCACCCAGTCAGACCGTATATTTCATTGTTGTTTCTTATTTCCAGAGGTACCCCGAGGAGGCGGAATTGTTGAACAAGGACATATTCAACTTCGAGTGTATGAAGTGTGTCTGGGGCCCTATACCAGAGTTGAGGATGTCGCGGGATAATGTTGCATCGGTGAGGGGTGACGCAAGCTCAAAGAAAGTGAGTGAAGACGATGATGATTTTATGCCAAGCAAACAAGCTCAGAACAAACGCAAGACTCATGTTGCATCTGAGAAGGGTGCCGGTAGTTCTAGCAAAGTGAAGAGTGATGATGATGACTTTATGCCAAGCAAAAAAGCTCAAAATAGATCGAAGGGTTGCGCAAGCTCAAAGAGTGGTAGATCAAGTAACAATGTAGCATAATCGAAGGGCGCTGATGCTGGTTATGATTCCGCTGATGAGTTTATGCGTGGGAAACTAGTTCAGGTAACATTTGTACGCAACCGTAAAGATCTTTGAAAGAACCATGTAAGCGAGAATAGTGATGATGACTTCATCTAGTGGTTGTTCGAACATTATGTTGTATCTTAATTTCCTGTTGAAGTGTGTCCTAATTTCTATTGTTTTGCAATATCTTCATGAGAATTTTCATATCAACTAGCAAACTTGAAAGTAACATGGAAATAAGTGTCTCATACATAGATAATGGGCCTCACACATGTAAACAAGTGCGGAAGTAACATAGACAGAAGCATGTCTCATACATAGATAATGGCTCACACATGAAGAAAAGTCTTAAACTAAATATGGATAGATGTATTTCTCATACATAGAGAATCGTATCACCCCTGGGGATGACGACGTCTAAGTTCTTGCTTCCTCGTACGAGGATCAGAAGGCTCGAATCGTTGATAACGAGTACAAGGGGATTGCAATTAACGAGTATAGGGGATCGCAACAGTTTTCGAGGGTAGAGTACTCAACCCAAATTTATAGATTTGACACAAGGGGAGCCAAAGAATATTTGAAGGTATTAGCAGCTGAGTTGTCAATTCAACCACACCTAGAGATTAATTATCTGCAGCAAGTAATCAGTAGCAGAGTAGCTTGATAGTTTTGATAATAGTGACAACAACAACGGTAACAGTAACAGTGATAGCAGTAATCTCGTGGCAAGTGTAACAATGATGATAGCAGTAGTAGCTTAGCATAAACAATATAGGATAAACTCGTAGGCATTGGATTCGTGACTTGTTGGATGATATTCATCATGTGACAGTTATAACCTAGGGCGATACGACTCTAGCTCCAGTTCATCGATATAATGTAGGCATGTATTCCGTAAATAGTCATGCGTGCTTTATTAAAAGAACGTGCATGCCATCTTTTGTCCTACCCTTCCGTGGCAGCGGGGTCCATATTGCAAACTAAGGGATATTAAGGCCTCCTTTTAATAGAGAACCGGAACAAAGCATTAACACATAGTGAATACATGAACTCCTCAAACTACGGTCATCACCGAGAGTGGGCCCGGTTGTTGTCACTCCGGGGTTGTCGGATCATAACACGTAGTAGGTGACTATAACTTGCAAGATCGGATCTAAAACATGGATATAATGATGAATTCGTAAACGGTTCAGATCTGAGTTCATGGCACCCGTGCCCAAAGTGACAAGCATTAAGCATAGCAAAGTCATAGCAACATCAATCTAAGAACATAGTGGATACTAGGGATCAAGCCTTAACAAAACTAACTCGATTACATGATGAATCTCATCCAACTCCTCACCGACCAGCGAGCCTATGAAGGAATTACTCACTCCCGGTAGGGAGCATCATGGAATTGGCGATGGAGATGGGTTGGTGATGACAAAGAATAAAGATCCCCCTCTCCGGAGCCCCAAACGGACTCCAAATATGCCCTCCCGAGGAAGAACAGGGCTTGGCAGCGGCTCCGTCTCGTGGAATGCAATAATTCTTTCTCCCTGATTTTTTCTGGAATAATGTGATTTTATAGTATCAGGGGGATCGCCTGCGGGGCCACCAGGTGGGTATAACCCACCTGGGCGCGCCAGGAGATGGGGGCGCGCCCTGGTGGGTTGTGCCCACCCAGGGCGCCTCTCTGGTGGGTCTTGGCTCCAGTAATTCTCTTTTATTCCATAAAAATTCCTCGCAAAGTTTCGTTTCATTCCGAGAACTTTTATTTCTGCACAAAAACAACACTATAGTAGTTCTGCTAAAAACAGCGTCAGTCCAGGGTTAGTTTCATTCAAATCATGCAAATTAGAGTCCAAAACAAGAGGAAAAGCGTGAGAAAAAGTAGATACATTGGAGACGTATCAACTCCCCCAAGCTTAAACCTTTGTTTGTCCTCAAGCAATTCAGTTGATAAACTGAAAGTGAGAAAGAAAAACTTTTACGAACTCTTTTGCTTTTGTTTGCATAAATAGGCTTAAAAAGCACCCAGGTTTTCAGCCAGCATTATAACTAACCATGTCGATAATAACACTTAAAGATTATATTAACTCATATCAATGACATAATCATCTAGCGAGCGATAATAAGAGATCTCAAACAGCAACACGTTGTCAAAACAACCATGATATA